TTTAATATTAACAAACTAAACTAAATGAAAAAAATTAATTAAAAAAAAAGTAAAAATAAAATAAAATTAAGGGTTAACTCGTCATTTTGGGTTAACCCGTTAAACTCGGGATTCATTAACAAACTAAATTAATTTTAAAAAAAAAAAAAAACCAAAAAAAAAACCATAAAAAACAGAAAAACAAAAAAAAAATAAGAAAAAAATATTATAATATAATATAACAATATAATTATCATTATAATAATAATTATTATATTATTATTATTTGCGTCATGAAAGTTTGATAACTAAATAAAAAAAAAATTGACGGGTTAACCCATAATTAACTGGGTTAACCCATCAAAGTTAGGAGATGTGTCATGAAAGTCTGATAATTAAATAAAAATAAATTTAATATTAACAAACTAAATTAAATAAAAAAATAATTAAAAATAAAAAAATAAAATTTTGGGTTAACCCGTTAAACTCGGGATTCATTAACAAACTAAATTAAAAAAAATATTAAAATAAAAAACAAAGAAAAAATAAAAAAAACTCATAAAGGCATAAAAAAAAAAAAAATAAGAAAAAAATATTATAATATAATATAACAATATAATTATCATTATAATAATAATAATTATATTATTATTATTATTATTATTATTATTATTATATATAAGCTTCCCCACGCCGTTTAGTATACTGTTAATAGGAACCCTGGCTGCGAGTCTTGAACAACATATTCTGGGTGAGCGTTGTTTCAAGAATTCTCCTAGTTTTCTTTCAAGAGTTCGTATTCCCGAGAAATCAGTGGCTACAATGGGGAATTTCTTAGCCTTACCACTGATCTCTGATGAATGTTTCTGCAACAAAAGTAATCTTGAACTACCTGCTGAAGACAGTGTTACGGTTAAGCTACTGCCCACCCAGAAGTTATTCACCAAGGCGCGTAATCATAAACTAACCGTAGCTCAAGCTGAAGTAGGCAATGGCACGGTACTGCTACCACCCCAACCATGCAAGATGGAAGATCACTATGAATCATTTGAACCTCACGAATTTACCGAAGCTCTACTTGAAGAAAGCGATGGCAAGGTACTGCTCCCACATCAACTGTTCGAGAAAGCAAGTAACTGTGAATCTGTTGAAGCTCACAATCACAAACAAACTGAAGCTCAAGTTGAAGAAGGCAACCCCACAGTACCGCTCCCAACAAAACCATGCAAGGCGGGAAAAAACCGTGAATCAGTTGAAACTCCCGAATTTACTGAAGCTCAACTTGAAGAATGGATTAGCACTCTACTGCTCCCACACCAACTGTATGAGGAAGCAAGTAACTGTGAGTCTGTTGAAAATCACAAACAAACTGAAGCTCAAGTTGAAGAACACGCGAATGCTCCATCGCTCCCACACCAGGTATTAAGAAAGCAAATAACTGGGAATCAGTGGAAGCTCACAAACAAACCGAAAAGAAAGTTGAAGAATGCCCTCCTGCTCCACTGCTCCCGCATCAATTATTCAAGAAAGAAAATAACGATGAACTAGTCAAAGCTCCCCGAAGCTCATGCTGGAAAACGCTTTCCAGGTATACTGCTTACCCATTAATTTTTCCAGAAATCAAATATGGTTACGGATTAGAGAGCAGTAACCCTAAAGCATGCAGCAGACCCTTGTGGACGATCCAGAGTCATTGTACTCATTAGAGAGGAATCACTCGATGCCATTTTTGCAGTTAATCCAATTTCTTTTTTGTCAGTGTTTAATTGAAGTCAAACTTTTCCGGGTATGAATTAGGGGATGAAGACAACTATTTTGCTACCATAATTGAAACGATGTCTATCCAGAAATATTAATTACCGACTCTGCCATTTCTCCTTTTTCTTTGTATATTTAATTTCTACTAATCCAATTCATTACCTTTTTTCCCTTTTTTTTAGAGGACAATCTATTATAGTTGAGATGAGAAAGGCAGAATAAAAGATAATCTATTAGCTTAGTTGAGATGAGAAAGGCAGAATAAAAGATATGAAACCTAAAATCTAGGCCCCCCGCCCCATACCTCTTTCTCTTCTCCCAGCAACCAAACAGATGGCAAGGAAGAAAGACGAGTTAGAATAAGAGGTAATAGGCTAGGTTTGGGTTAGATATTTCTATATATTACAGGGAAGAAGAAGATTTCAGGCACTCATCAGGAATAAGACTTAACTCTTCCGTACGGTAATAGAACGCAAATCAAGAAACTGAGTTTGATCCACAATGTGACCTCCAGGCATACATGCACAAAAACACACCTTATTCCAATGAAAAGAAACTCAGCATCTTTTCCCAGGAAAAGCTACATAGCTAAAGAAACTATACGACAATTAAGGACAATCAAGGCCTCCGCTAGCATGTTGAGCAACCATTTAAGCTAAAACATATAATGGGTATAAACAACAAATCACTTGTGGGCAAGAAAAGGTATGCCACGGCCCACCTTCCCACATTCACCACTTGCGTCAAGTGAGTGAATAAAAGATCTTATTTCTTCCCACACTTAATACCTTTAGACATTCAGACGATCGTAGAAAGCTTACTGAAAAAGAAACACAACTGTAAGAACACTTGGTAGGGGACAATGAAATCGATCCAAAACTGTGCTCACCCACAACACCAAATTAGCCAAAACTCCTTGTCACTGTGCAAACACATATCAAGGGCAAAAACAAAAAATTAGATACATGTACCTTCTTCTGCCAAAGAACTTTGGTAGTAACAGGACCCTGATCCAATTTGCAAGAATTTTAGATTGGCTGTTTTGTGTTGCTAAGTTTGCAACTGTAAGGTGTCAAACTCTCTAGCACATCCAGCTGCCAGGCACATATCATCTATCCAGCAACATACCATGATCCAAAAACTGCAGAATCGGACTGATTTCCACAAATTCTGGCACTAAATCCAGGAATCAATTGAGAAAACAAGATAATGCATATCCATCCTAGTATTTTAAGTCGACCCATTTAGCACTTAGATGCGCTGTCCATTCATTGGATACCAATGAGAATGGAGATGTTTATTTTCAATCTACAATTATCACTTCTAGAAACGGATGATTACTTGTCAAATTGCAATTAAAGATATATTTCACTTGCATCTTTGCCCGAGTAGAAATGGGCCGTTAAACAAAAACATATAGTGTGTGTACCTAGAAAGAAAACAAGAATATTTCCAGCCATGCACATTTCCCATTTGCATCAAATACACGAATAACAGTTTTAAGGTATCTACATAAAAAGTCCATATTTGTCACAATAATACTGTAATACCTTCTATGATCTTTGAAAACGTGTCTAGATCTGTTAAATACAGAACATGGCAGAACACTAATAGAAAGAATAGCAACATACCAATGCAAGGCAAGATCATTAATTAGGCTTGATAGAAGCCTGGAATTAACAAGCCAAGAGATGAAATCACATACTGTTACAAATAAGGTCATGAGCATATGGAGTCATAATTTACAGCGAAAAACACCCTTCTTCTGCAAGGACCTATTCGAGCAGAGGAACTAATTACACATCTTACATTTATACAATCAAGACAAAAACTTGTACTTACATCATGCATCCAGAATTAGCATGGATTGGGCGAAATCCAAAGTGGTGGAGGCCATTGCAACCGCGAATAAGAATTCCGCGGATAACAGGGCAATGGTTCAATGCTTCCATCCGATAATTTGAAAATGCCCAAATCATGTTCTCCAATATGACCATCATAATTATTTGCAGAGTAATCATCAGTGTAATAAATACAGTCACCCATACATCCTGACAAACCCGAAGCAGATAACGCCAGCGAAGAATTCTCTCCAATGAACAACATCATATCACCCATACTTGTCACCCTTTCCCACCTTGGTCCATTCAAGTCTAGCTTAAAAACTTCAAACCTCGCTGTTTTATAGATAAAAATATCAAACTCAACATCAAGATCCAAATACCTTGTAACTAATAACAACCCATCTCCCGAACTAACCAAATACTGCATATCACCACCAATTTGCCGTGGGGTTTCGATAAACGAAACCTTAGGTGAATTGCCATTAACATCACACACAACAATTTCGCCAGCCTTATTGACAGCATAAAATAACCCATTAAAATAAATAACATCTTCACTAAAAGAACGCGAATTCTCCACTATATGCCAACATTCATCTCCATTTTTACAGTAAGCCAAATCACCTGTTGAACAAAGAATCGCCATCGCCACGAAGAAATCTCCCTTCTTTTCCAAAGGGCCAGAAGAAAAAACAACTTTCTTTATAAACCCATCTCTCATTTGCCTCAAGCTCGCTGTATTACGCTCTCCCTGCGGATTAACAAGCAAATACTCTCGCCCCACATTGGCGTAATCGAAGCTAACAACATTAGGAAAACTAGATATCGCAGGCAAATGAATTTTCCTTCGTGTTAAGGGATTTATGACAAGAATTGAAGGAGAATCGTCTAGGATTATGAGCCAGCCATGAGAAGAACCACAGTGTTTCTTACGATGAGAGGCTTCTGGGAGGTTAAGGGAGTGGAATTTGTTGGTGGAGAGATTGAAGAAAGCACGGTAAGAAGATTGGTTTGATTGGGATTGAGGAAGCAGGAGCCATGGGAGTTGTGGAGGGAGGTGGTTGGGTGTCTTGGGGATCGAAGATTTCCATGCGTGGCAGACTGCTTGGAAATGGAGATAATCGGAGTAGATTGTGATTTTTTTCGAGATATTTTCGATTAATTCAGGTGGGAGTTGAGTCCAGTCCACGGCCATTTTACAAGGGAGAAGCTAAATGGTTCCCGGGTTCAGGGAGAGAGAGAGGTCAACGAACTTATAATGGTGGGGTGGGTTTCTTCTTTGGTAAATTTTGGAATATTGCAATTTGGTATTGATAATTTAAAGTCTTTCAATATAATCCACATGTTTATTAATCCTAACCGAGTCAAACTAATAGAGAGTTGATCTAGTTCATTAATATTTTTTTAAAAGAATTATAATAATTCCATTTTCAAAATAAAATTAATAAAATTTGAAAATTATAAATTAATTTGTTAGGTTAATCAAGTTAAACTAAATTGATTTTAAATTGATGTAACTTTTATTTTTTAAATTGATTTTCCCTTGAGAATATATTTGTTTTCCAAATTATTTTTTTAAATACATTAAATTAATATTTTTCGTTCTAAGCTGATGGATTTTGATATGATTGCAAATTGAACGACTGGGTAAATCAGGTAAAACATGGTGTAAGTTTCTTATTTTATGATGTGAACTCGAATCTTACAAAAATCCCCCGCAAACTCAACGAGTGCCAAAAACATCTCGACCAAATGGATATTGCTTGAACTACTGCTATTTAGAACCAGCAAAACTCCAGAGAAAATGGAAACCTAAAACAGCAGACCGAGTTTTTAAGCACCCTTGGTCCCTTACCCTACACAATCGCTGAACAGCTAAACCCAGGAGATTACATTTTCATTGACCCATAAGTTGCTTCAGAGAGCAAACGCCAAGAATTAATCAGCAAAAATTTAAATAGAACAACTTGCAAGGGAAAAAGGGATAACCTAAACCCAGTTGTAATGATTCCAAAACAAGCAAACAGTTTCTGAGTAATCAGTTTCACAGAGATGTACACGGAGCCGCGTTTTCAAATTTAGTGCTTTCCTTGCCATTGTTATTATCTTCACTGGTGTTATCATCTACGGTGTTGCTAACACGAAGATCAGGATAGTTTCGTTGGTTGAGAGAATGCAACCACAAAGACACTGATCCTTCCTTGTGTTCTGTCGTTGCAATGTGTGAGTATATGTGCTTCATCTTGAAGTCCTCTGCCTCTTCTTCATAATCTTTCATAGAAATTTCTTCGTGGCTGTCTTTCCATTTCTTGTTATAGGATGTGAAAAGGCACTCATCCAAGTATAACCCAACTTCAGGAGCTGTAGGCACATTGATGTTAACATCCCTGTAAATTTTGGTAAAACATGGATTAGAGAAAAACACGATTGACATTGGAATGCAACCCATTACAGGAGGAAGGGGAAAAAAAAAACAGTAGATATTCTTCCTTACTTTTGTAGAGCAGTTTGTATCAACGACTCAGGTGCACAGTTCCTCATAATTGCCACAGCAACCCCTATCATCTTCCGTATCTGATGAAGCATGAAACTCTGACCTACAACCTCACACTTCACAAACTCAATGCCTTCAACATTAACAGTGGTCTTAGCTTCAAACGAAACCATATAGCGTCGAGCAGAGGGGTCTTCAGCCTTAGTTCTGGTTGTAAAATTATGAAAGTTATGACTCCCCACGTAATAACCCAGTATTCGATTGAACCTCTCCTTCTCCTTCTCTCCGTAACAAAACCTACTTCTCTTCACCATCTCCTCTTTGGATTTTGTCTTCTCATCATCACCATTCTCCACGGAAACTATTATTTCGTCTTTGTTTTCAGTATTAACATTAGCATCTTCACTGTTTGATGGAATGACTGGTTCAGGCATTACAGATTTTGATCCGCAACCGTCATTTTGAAAGATCTTAGTTTCATTTACAGTTTCAGAATTCCTAATATCCTCAAGCCCATTATCCAAATGCACACCAACCTCCTCTTTAATTTCAGATTTAACAGAAGCATCTTTATCGTTCGACGAAATGTCTGTTAATTCAAAGCTGCGCTTGCCCACAGCGCCTGCAACCTTACGCCCTCTCTCTGAACACTCCAAACACTTAATAAGCTCACTACCAGACCCTAAACTAGCTAAAACACTCTCCCTGTCACGATGGGAACATGGATCAAGAGCAAAAACAGGAATTAAATACACATACCTCCTCCGATCACAGAACTTCTTAGCATTAAACGATCCCGTCACTCTCTTGTAGCCGAAAATCCTAAACTGAGGAGAAAGATTCGAATGTAAGCGTTCCACGAGTCCAGGCGGGTCGATGTAGAACCGGCCAGAGACTACCTGACCCACAGCGCTCACGCCCTTATCAGTGCGAGCTGAGCGGGCCCAATCATAACGCTTGGGGATGCCGCGGTCCTGTTCAGGGACAGCACCGGCGTGAAAGAGGGCTTCTTCAAGGTCCCCTTCGATGGTTTTGGCACCTGGATTTTTCTGCATACCTTGATAGCCAACGCCACAGTACGCGAAGAATATTGCGATTTTGCGGCGCTTGTATCTTTGCTTTTTTGTGGTTGTGTCGCCACCAGGGGTCATGGTGGCGGCGTCTTCGTCGTCAGAGGTTGTCGTGGACATTTTGGGCTTTTTGAGGTCTGGTTCTTGCTGTGGTGGCGGTGATGCTATGGTTTTTGAAGCTGGGGTTTCCATTTTTTTGGTTTAAAAATTGATAAAGGAATCCATTAGAGTGTTAACATTGCTTGCTTTGTATCCCCTGATAAAACCCTAGGATACATTGTTTAAGGGGGAACGTTCCTGTGCGGCAGGCTCGACAGGAATGATCCTTGTTCCTTTGTTAAGGAACTGTATCCGTCGTTGATCAATCAAACCGGTAGTTCGCTCCACTTCAGCATAAGGTATGGTCTTCAGACATTCTGGTGAATCTGGTCAATCCAAAAGTTTCAGTTGAGCCTTGGGAGTTTATCACCTTGTTGGTGTTGTCTATAAATAATTATTAAATTTGGTTTAGCTTGCAGGTTGATTTAAAGTTTAATTCTTTTGGATATTAATTTAGCTAAATCCAGGCAATTTAAGAAGTTGATACAAGATTCAGTTAACTTAGTAAAATTTAAACCTGATCAAATTAATTTCAATAATTTAAAAAAAAAACTAAAATAATTACTCACGAGTTGACCTAACATGAAGTTACTCGGATCTAAATTGGATTGATCATCGGAGTTCGACGTTCAAACAATCTTAATAAAAAAAATGAAAAACCCTTTTGAACTCGTTCAGACAACGATGGCTGGCTTTAATCTTTCGGACAAATTCATTAATTTATGCATGACAAGGATACAATCCGAACTTATTGCATAGACAGGAACAAATCACATCCGTCGCTCCTGCAGAATCTGTTGGATTTGTTCATGGGAGTGAAAAACCTACATTTTTTGTTCCTGGAAATGATCCAATCTCCATCCAATTGTTTTATGATGATGATGTTCCTGCAATTGTCTGTGCTCATCAGTGTAGCATGAACTTTATAGTCTCTCAAGGAGCAGTTTCTAGTCGATCAAGAGATTTTGGAAGCTATCAGCTCTTCTTCTATTTCTCTCTTCTCTTCTTCTTTTTTTTTTCTAGTTTTGAAAATAATTTTTCATTGAAATTATATTAAAATGATTTTTTATTTTTAATATTAATATATCAAAATCATAACAAAAAAAACATATAAAAATATCAATTAAAATTTTTTTAAAAAAAAAAATAATTTAAAAAACATAATGACAGACAACTAGGAAAAAAAATTGATTTAAGAATTAAGATGGCCCTAATCTCTAAACACAACACAACTTTTGAATAAAATTAGTTTATTAGTTTGTGCTATGTGGTGGGTTGATGTTTTTTTTTTTTTAAATGCAAAAAAAAATAAAAAAACTTGAGTATTGCTAACAAGTCTTCTAAAAAAAATTAACAATGAATTTAAAATTAGCTATTTATTGAATGATATTTATATTTAATATTGAGTTAGAAATTTATTGCATCTACTTATGTTAATTCGGGTTGACCTATGAAACTTACAGAAATAATTTAAAAAACAAATAAATTGAAAAGCTAAATTTCCTATTAACTCAACGTTAAAAAATAAAAATAGTAAAAAAACAACACCCAATTAAAAAACAACAAGAACTCAAGCTAACCAACTAACCTTGAAAAACAAGTCATGCACACCATCAAATTAAATAAAACTTTTATTTCATATATTATTTTTTATTTGATAAATTTATATGACAAAAAATGTATGAGAATTTTTTTTATACGAGACATTTTTTTAACAAAAAACCATGATAAATGTGTGGAATTAAAAAAATAGATTATTGATAACAAATGATCAAGTTGTGTTTTTCTAATTTTAAATTAAATAAAAATAGACCATTGATACTGAATAGTAAAATTATATTGTTTTAAGTATGCATCAAACAAAAAAAAAATATATATAACAAACTAGATGTCATAATTTAAACTATTAAACTTATAATCTGAATCATAAACTCAACCTTGTACATTATTTTTTATATACATAAATCTATGTTTAATCTAAATATACTAAAAAAAACCTAAAAACAACATTGCGGTGCAGGCCTGTGAAAGGAATAGCCTATGAGTATGGGCTTTCAAGCCTAAACCCGTGACTTTGAGCTTGCAATTTCTATTATTATTTAAAGAGATAAATAACTTATCATTTGTTCTTGTTTTCAATAAAAAATAAACGATAGGACATCACATGTTATGGCATGGACATGTTGTCTACCATTCTAGAATTTAGGCACCACTGTATTGCTTGAAAATTAGAGTTGTGAATTTGTTATTTAAAAACTTATTTTTATTTGAAAAAAACACTTAAAACATTAACAATAAATATATTAACTTAATAAATTGAAGAAGGGTTCAGATCACAAAATCAATATAAACAAAATTTATCATTCTCATTTATATATGATTTTTATATCATATTAAAACTAAAAACAATCACTATAAGACTCCTCTAATAGAATAAATCTTGTTGATATTCATTTCAATTATTTTTATAGTTTAAATAAGTAACAATAATAACTTTTTTTATATGTCAAATTCTAACTATATCTTTTATATTCTCATAAAAAATTAATTGAAAAATAAAAAATTAATTTTGATATCAAAATTAATTTTTTGACAACTAAAAGAACCTATCACTTATGAATAGAAAAAGATGGGATTCCAAATTAATTTTTTTGGTTGAGAGTCAAA